TATATATGAAAGAAATATATTAATTAATTGAAAGATAACTAAAAGAACCCCCACCAAAAGGCCATACTCTATGAATGTCTTCACCTATATGATCTTTGAATAGAGCAGTTCAGTTGGAAAGGACCCACAATGATCATCTAGTCCAACTGCAATCTTGAAAACAGCCTTAAAAATAAAACCCAAAGAAAATCCCCAAAACTAACACACTGCCAAACATGTAGCTGCTTCACCATGGAACTGGCAAAGCTTCATTGTTCAACTGGGTTTCTCCTTTGGCCAGTCCTACATGGTTTTCAGAAGTCCTCAATAGATTCAGACAAGTGTTTGCTCAGAATAGCCTGTTGTTCCTAAAATACAGTAGCTACGGACAACTTCCAACACATCCTATCTGTGACTCCTAAATACTGCTCTGATCTGGGAGGAAAGTGGCTGTCAGTTTACATACTGGTTCAAATCACAGGAATCCACTGCAATATCCAGCTTCCAATATTACTACACAAGGTAGCATACATTCCAAAATAAAAATCAACAAGTTGGTAATCATAGTAATGCTGCTGTTCCCTTGCAAAACAATTTACAGTGCTTTTATCACCATAAATCTCCTGTAGTATTTTAAGCCTCTAACAGAAATCGGACTAATCAAAACCACTTGTTATAATCAAAAGCATTTTTGTGATAGAAAACCAAAAGCACACTCCATCAGCAAGATATTTATTAAAAAAATATATAATTAGGTACATTGTTTTAGAATTGCACCCCGTATTTTGGAAACAGTGGCCAAACTGATATGCCATCATCTTCCTATCTGCTGAGTAACTAAATTTATTTTTCACTTGTAACTATTTTTATTTACTAATTCAGGAGGTTTCCAAAATGGCAGTCAGAATTGACTTGCATATGATTAATTCTTAATTATTGCTATTTTAATCTAAAATAAGGTTAATTTGCAGCATTCCTATTGACTCAAACACAATTGTCTGGGGTTTACAGCCTGGTTAATATACTCAGTCTTTATTTCAGCATGGCTCAGTTGAAATCACTTAGCAGTTATTTGCAAACACTTAAATATGTGTTACTGTCACAGGAACAACAAAGGAACGTACAAATATCTTTGACATAGGAAGGTGGAATAAACACCATAGAAGTGAAATAAGAGGCACAATATTTAAAACTACATCTTCATTTATAGATTCTAGAATGAAATGTCAAATTTACTTTCTTGATTTAATTTAAAACAAAACCCAAAAAACCATGCTAGGAAACTGCCAACTAGCAACTGAACACAGGAAAAAAGGACTATATTTACTGATTAGTATTTCAACTTAGCTTCTCCTGTAATTTTTCAAGATCATTTCAATAATATGAAGTATATTCTCCAATCATGCCTGCAAAATAAATTAGGTTAAACTACATTTCATAAATTAAACAAGTTATTTGGATATTCTTACAAATATCCCTTATAGTTTTGAATTGAACTATTCATGACATTGTTTAATACTTATGGCATGCAGTTTCTACAATATCATTTCTACCTAAGCAATGCATGGAGAAAACACATTAAAATAAAATATAAAATTATGAAAAACTGAAACAACTGCACTTCCCAACAATAAATATAACATCTGTTGCAGAAACTGCTTGGCACTTACACAGTTTTGTGAAGGCTTTTTGTTATAGATAAGTATTTTTCTACAATTCCTATTACATACCTCTCAGCCCATACATTTTCTTTAATTATACTTCAAGGGGTCTTTTCATATCTATTAAAAAAAGGCAATTTGTTGCCTAAAATACATACTTCTAAATTTTGACTGTGATTCATCTGACACATAAAAAAGCAAGAAAATACCTACAATTAATTGACTTAGTTCTGCAAAAACATCTAATAAAACTCTCAATGCTCAACACATTATTTTTGTTAAATCCTTAAATATGCTCTTTTTGAAATAAGGAATGGTCTTATGACTCAGCATTTTACTTTCATTTCACATCTCAATAGTGAGGACAAGAAGACAGCAAAACCTTTAGGAAAGCAAGAAATTTTCATTTTAACATAGGCAAAGTTGACCGAATAAAGCTCCCACTTTGCATATACAGCAATCACATCACAGGACATCATTTTTTCAGGGACAAAGTAACAACCTTGTGACATTCTCCTTTTTTTTTTTTTTTTTTTTTTGTGGTAATTTCATTTTCCAGTATTCTAAGGAAAGAATTTCAAAGACATACACCGAGCCCTTGACAGAGGGTGGGTTTTTTTCAGAAAATATGCATAAGCTGTGCACAATTAACAAAATTCTTGTATTCAGCATTTCATACAAAGTAGCAATCAAGACTTGTTTGCTATAACAGACTGAAAGTTTTCTGTAAAAGAGCATGCACTAGAAAAATATTTAAATACTATTGTAAGCATATAAAGATCTACTCCTCTACTGACATATCAAGCAATTGGTAATGATAGATGAGGAAAAAATGAGGGTACTGCCAATAAAAGAGAAGAAAAGCTAACTATAAGTATACAAAAAGATCCAGTTCAGGCCCAAAAGTCTATCCACACGGGCTCAACTGCAAAATGGAGAGTTACATGCATAATTTGTTGTAAAACAAACTAATTGGCATTGTATTCACTATTCTTATGAAACAGACAAGAACATTTCTTAAATTATATTTATAATCAAAATCCTCAATTAACTTGAAACCAAATTTAGCCACTTTAAAAGGGGAAAAAGTAGTAAAATAAAAAGTACTTAAATCATGTGAAAAAAGCATTTCTACTGATTGAAATTGTAATCTATATTGCTCTATGAAAAAAATAAAAATCAAAACACCTTGGGTATATTTGGATGAATAAAATGAAAACAGTTGTGTCTCAGGATATTGTCATTTTTTAAAGTGGAAGGTTTAGGAATACAAGCTTTGCTTTTACCTTGCACAATAAACTAGAAGAAATTAATAAACTGATATTAAAAAAATGCATATTACGTTTCCTTTAAATATCAACTACTTCTTCCGAAATCTGTTTTTAGATGAACAAGACCTAGAACTTGTAGATTACATGCCTGCATCATTTCAGTTTACCTCTTTATGTAACTTGATATACTAAATACAAATTCCTTTTTTTTTTCCCCTAAGCACAGATTCTTGGAGGAAAGGATCAACAATTTAATAAAACATTTTACAGTGTAGCTTACACGGTTCTTACTTATTCCCTTCCTCTCAAATTAAAAACATCACTACAGTCACATTTACACTTCTCCTTCTTAACACATAATAAGCTTAACTTTTTATCCTGGGTTTGGTTTCGGGTTTTTTTGGCTAAGAAAGGAGGCATAGATACCAGTACAGAAAGTACATACAACTATACTGTATAAATAGCAGTTATTCTACAGGCCAGTAGGTTTTGCAATTAATTGAACTGGCATTCTTCAGAAAGATTGTGCTTTAGACAAAGAAGTGCATCTAAGAAAGCAACAAGTTTAAATGCAAAGCAGCAACACAGTAAGGTGCTGAAAGAGTTTTCACTCTGCTGTAATAAAAACACCACTCACAGAACAAACAGGAGATTTCACATGCAATCTTTAATAGGAAGAGTCCTTTAAATGACATTTATGAACAGAATGTCACAAGCAAATTTTAACGTCTTCCTACAACTTCAGAAATGTAAGCAGAGCTTCTCATGAAGAATTGATAATGTTCAGCATTTCCTCAAAGGTATGGGACATGATAGGAATGTAGGTAAGATGAGTTTTTCAGAAATGTAAAAGCAAAAGGTACAACGAATAGAACAATTATATAATTTACTATGTGATAGCTGCAAATTAGACAAAGACAATACTCCTTAAAAGAAGAAAATCAGAACAAGTTAAGGACTTCAGAACAGGAATTGCAACTCTGCCCTCACACCAGTACATCACAGTTCAGAAAAAATGCTTTTACATAAAAGACAACCTATGGCTGCAATCTATTGCTTTAAGCAGTTGCAAAGAATGGAGTAATGGGGTAGTGCAAGATTAAACAGCAAATAAAAAAACAAGCTAAACAAAAAAATCACGGTCCCAGCAGCTTTAGATAAGAATTGTTTAAAAACATCTTTTCTCCCTTAAGCAAGATATGGTGAAAGCAGGAGAACATTTTGTATCCAAGTATTACTTGTCTGTTTTCCAGAACAACTAAGCCTGTAGAGAGTGCATTGAACTAAGTTCTTAGGGGCTGGGACTATTCTTGGTCTGTATACTTACAGGGAAGAGTAACTGAGGCCAGTCTTTAACTAGGATGTCAGGGTAATAAGTAATACCGGGTCAGTGCTGTGCAGATAATAAATACAAAGAGGCAAGATGCTGCCGTGTTAACATACCTCTTGTACGGAGCGAGCTGCTGGCTTGTCTTGATGATTGGCCAGTATTAAAAACGGCAAAGTACATAACTGTGGGTGCTGGAGAGCAGAATGCAGTTCATTCCTAGCAGTTTCTAGATCATCTTCAGAGGAGGCACTGTCTAATACAAATATTACCCCTTGGGATCCTTGGTAGTAACGACTCCAGTATTTCCTGATATTGTCAGCCCCTTTCAAAACAATAATAAGAATTAATTAAAACAAGAACATTTAAACAGATTTAACAATTGTATCTGAAAATGACCCTTCTACTTAGATCAAAGCAATGGACTGAATTTTCTCTGCTCAATAACCATAATTGAAAGAATAAAAAGGAAAAAAGCAACTGTAAATCCAACACACACACAAACATTAAATTAACATTGTTTAAGTAAGGAAGGAATTTGACTCAATGCAGTTTTCATCACTGAAAGTTTCTGCGCCATTAATGAGTACTGGCAGAACTACCATGCTTCCAGTGCCACATAGTCTAATCTTATACCTTCTCACTGAAATATCTTGGTACTAATATCTAAACTTTTGCCTTTTTTTGTTTTTACTTAACCCTGCAGCTCCTTGCTTCTGTACCAAGAACCTGTAGCTTCCGTCATGGCAATTGTTCATTTCTGAGCATGATAAGGTCTTTCAGTTCACCTCCAAACCATCAGGCAAACACTTCATAATTGGGGAAAAAAGGTGTCAGGAAAGCCTATTAAAGTAATTAGACACTTTATGAGGAGAATGGTGATACAATAGTGAGCTGAAGAGTGAACGAGGAGCTATGGTGACAACATGCAAAGGCATTCATTTCCACTACTTTTGTTCTGTCAACCACACTAAGGATTCTAGAAGACCCCAATAGTAGACACGAGTGACTGTACAGGCTTATGTGCCACAGTAATTTTTAGGATACAGTTCAGCAGTGCTCAGCGATCTCAACAGAAGCCAAGCAATAAGGTTATCTACAGAAAGCTTTTGTCTCCCCTGGAGAGTAGCGTATGTTGTAACATTGAGGTAGGAAAAAAAAACTGTACTTGACAGCTGTCAAACTATCTAAACTATGATTTGGATATGGGCCATTCTTTGTATGTCTGGATCTGGCACTACACTCATGGGGACTAACACTAAAAAGTGAATAGCAGCAGCAATACTCTAGTAGAAAACTTGACATGTCTGCAAGACAGTGATTTGCAGAAATGTGCTGAAGGTATCCTTTACAGACACTTTTCTTACTTTGAGACAGAGAGAAGGGAACTGTAATGTAGACAAAGATATCAAGTGCTGCTGATAATAAAACTCCATTTTTTAGTGAAATGAAACTACAAAAAAGTTCTGAGCAAGATGTAGGCACAAAATGAGAATTTAACACAACATAATTACTATTATATTGATATACTTAAAATATTCACTTAATTTATACATTGTGCAACACAAAAGACAGTCACTAAACAAAGGTGAAGAAATAAATATCTAAAAAGGAATTTACACCATATGCTTTAGGCATCCAACTCAGAATATTCAATTCTCACCCCATGGAGTTACTCTGTTCTCTGTACCAGTCACACTGGAACCTGAAGCACTCTGTTTCTGTACTCTGCACCTAGCACAATTTAGGTGGCTAATGAATGTTCTGAACACATGCTTTTTCCTGCAGAGAATATTGAAGTCATACCTGAGGTTTTTTTCTGCAAGAGATCTAAAGAGTTGATTACTTAAAGGTAAATGGTCATGGGATTTAGTCAAGAACCTGCTTAGTTTCTCTATTAATTTAAGCAAATTCAAAGTAACAATGTACAAATAGGACAGGTGTTTCATTTATTTTATCATCAACGTCTGAAGATCAACCTTACTTATACAGAAGAGGGATTGCACTGAAAACTAATTCTATGTTTCTGTACCACTGGAATATCTACCAATTTTACTTGTGAAGAATTTCATAGCATCTGTTAGCTGTCCCAGTCCTTCCAAACAGCTGCCCGTGTCGGAACCAAGTAGAGCCAGAGGGACACTATTTACGTAGCCACATAGAGCAGTGTTGCAGGCATCTGAAGTATCACATTACTTTAAAAACTCGTAGAGAACCATTTCCAGTGAAAGGCCAACACCATGATCCGTTCTTTGAAGGTCCTTTTTTCCCTAGCAACATAACATCTGTCTTATTTACTCTAAGCTTCAGTCAGCTACATTTCAATCACATATCGCTGCCAGACCTTGAGTCTTATCTTTACAGCTCTACCATTTCTAAAGAGAAAAATTGTGTAGTGAACTGCAGAGCATTTCACCTCTTGTATCCAGGAACATGGAAGAAAGTAGCTCATGGATCCCTACATGGGACACTGGAGCCAGAAAAGCAGTATGACGATTTGTTGACCTTATAGTGCTGTCTTTTTGGTTCAGATTCTTCAGCTGCTCAACTTTATTTCTCCACATCAACTGTCCCAAAAGAAACACCACTAAAGCCTAGTAGTCCTTCATATCCATGGAGCATAACCTGCTCTGAGCTTCCTTCTCCAGAGCATTAGGTAGTATGTTGTGGAGTTATCCTGGGCAGAAAGTGCTGCCCTTTGAATAGTGATCCAGCTATCATACTTTACAGTAGTCTTATAGAGCAAGCAATTCAGTCTTACAGAGCAAGCAATTGTTTTTAAAAGTGCAGTTTAGCACAGACTTTCCTATGAATTTATCTTTTCATCTATTCCAAAAGTTTCTAAGACAGGGAAATTCAAAGTCTGAGTTCTTTGGCAATCCAGAATGTAATGCGCACCCATTAAACATCCTCAGGCTCTCAGGGACCGCTGAGGTAAAACCAGAAACTTAACTGGTACCCAAAATGTCCTATCAAACAATAGTAACACAGGAAATAAGCATTTAGGTTTGTCAGTCAAATCTAATAGGTTTCTCTAACAGATTCACAGGTACATGGCTGTTTCTTCAACTACTTTATACCTAAACTAAAATTAAAAAAAAAAAAGAAAGAGAAGTAACTCAGGTAAAAATCTCCAAAACATCAGAAAAATATAACAACAATTCACATTAGACCTAGGAAAAAGTTCACTAAAATGTGACATTCAGTGTAGTATTTTCCTAAGACACAGGCAAGAGCTTGTGGTGAGAGCCACCACTCATGTCTAGGCTATGATTTGTTGCCCTCAGCAATGAAACCACAGGAGTGGGTTGAGTACTGTGATGTGACTAAAACACCCTATTTACATATGAATTGGGGGAAAAAAACCCCACCACATTACAACACAATCACACTACTTATTAGAAAAGATAGCATTCAGTCAAACATAAGCTTGAATTACTTTATAAAAGGAAAAAAAAAAACCCGTCCTTACAGAGCAATGACAGGGTGCTGTAATTAAAAACGCCAATCATTCAGCATTACTACAGGGCAGGTTTATTCAACTAACTGTTCAAAATTCTGTAATTTTTTTAAAATATTGAATAAATAAATTGTTTTTTAGTATCAGCCAAGGGTATAGTGTGTCTATATTAACACCATTTATATCAGTGCCAATAGTACCCTCTCAAATGCCCCTTGGAAGCGAGCAGGAAGAGTTTGAGAGTTAGATGCAGTTTAATACACATCCAAATCAGGTTGCACAATTATGCACTCCTGTAAATATCATGCAAAATGCAGAACTGCAAATGTTCCTTTCAACTATGAATACCTCTGTCTATATCATCATTCACAGCAGTTTAAGGCTACCCTAAATTCCCTCCTTTTCAGCACTCTAAGGTTAACAGAACATAGCATTAGAGAAAAAATTCACTGAAAGCAATTTAAAGGTGTCAAATTTTTACTTGTCAAACTTGCAGCAAGTCTTCATCGAGAGCACAATGAATGTCACACAGCTCTTGCTTCAAGATAGTCTATTCTGTGCATGAAAGCTCTTCACCTCAAAATACATCACAGCTCCGGAGAAGTTACAGCCTCAAATCCAGGGAAGAACTGTTTTTCCTTCCCACCAAAAATAGTTAACTTGGGGCCATGAAAGAATGCAAGCTGCAACCAATTTTTCTACCACTTCAAATATAACAACCACTCACCTGAAATAAAGACACCTACCCATTTTGAATGTTTTATAGTTAATTAAAGAATTATACAGATAATTCCTCTACTGACAGTAAACAGACTGTTTCTGATTAGCAAAAAGGTGAAAAAAAGCCAAGGAATATGTCAACGGCGCCACAAAATCTTTTTGCATGAAAGACTGGCCCCATGGTTGGGGCAGTAAGACAGAAGGGAAAGTAACGGAAAAAGAAATCTCTTGTCCATTCTTACAAAATCTTTAAATACACCCTAACCTTCACCCTAAGGAAACCTTATGAAAAGAATTTTGAAATAGCTTTCTAAATCTATGTAGGGTTTATAACTTCACTTTCCATCATTTCCTCACAAGGAAAACTGACATGTTTTGTTAGGTAATCAGGAAGATGTCTGAAATCTTAGAAATCTTAACACATTTTTAAGAGACCTGTTTAGGTCTCATGGTGAAAAAATACAGCATAGAGATTTATCTTTTGGTTTTTTTAACACTAGCGATTTTTCAATAGCTAGCTCCTTTCTATTACAAATAAAGTTATAAATCCTTTACAAGATACCTGCTTGTACGTACATGCAATTTCTCCACAGACACATCCACACACAGATGATAGAGAAGTTTCCCGCGGATGGAATGTCAGTCACCATTTGATGGCTATTTTGCTAAGTGGCAATACAGATGCTAAACCAAAACCCTCCTCAAGGTTCAAAAGTCCCAGGACTTTTGTTTCCTAGGGTTTAAGACTGAGTGATCACAGCCTGCTTTCTCTAGCCTTTCAGGCAGTGCACTCCTGCAATCATACACAAAGCATGGCAGCAGGAAATTGGCAGGGTTTTTTTCCTGAAAGAGGAACATTTTGAAACTGCTAGATCAGCTATATTCACTGCAGCGATTCAACAACAAACTGAAAAAACAGCATAAAAGAAAAAAAGTATGTTGAGGTTTGAATTTATTTTCAATATATTAAAAAAATCAGAAATACGCATAAGTTTATTGTGCTTACTTTTACTGTTCTTATCAAACTGAAGTTTACAGAAACCATCTCCGTTATCTCTTGTCTGCCTTCCAGGCTTCCCCAGTGAGACTAATCTGGAAGTCAAGCCTTCAGTATTTTCCCTATTAGCTAACTTAGGTGCAGTCTCCAACTTTGAATCTCCACCTACTCTGATAGTTAAAACTATTAGACAACATTTAGGTTGCAAGCATTTGGAAGTTTTAAAAACACCATATTCACACTTGCCTGCAGAAAGTCAGTTTGATCTACTTGGGCGCGTGTATTTTACTACCATCTTAAAATAAAACATGAAACAAAAATATCCTGTTGTAGTCAGGAACATAAAGTTAATTTTAAAAGTTCATTAAAAAATCTTACAGATTATTTCAAAAGAAAGATAAGAAAACATGTGCCCTGCAACACGCTCTAATGTTTATTTAAGTCTGAAGTTTGAAGCTTTAACAGTTTGCAGCAGGTGGCACACCACACTAAAATGCACTTCATGTATGATAGCCATTCTCAAAATCACCTCTGTTCTTTTTTTTTTTCCTTAAAGGCACAAACACAC